TGCAAATCAAAACTTCACTGAGATACCATCTCACCCCAGTTAGGATGGCTAAAACCCAAAAGACTCTGAACGATAATTGCTGGCGAGGTTGTGGAGAAAAAGGAACTCTCATACATTGTCGGTGGGACTGCAAAATGGTGCAGCCTCTATGGAAAATGGTATGGAGGTTCCTCAACCAATTGCAGATAGATCTGCCATATGGCCCAGCTGGGAATATACCCAGAGCAATGGAAGGTATACCTGTTCCCCAATGTTCATCGCAGCACTCTTTACAATAGCCAAGAGTTGGAACCAGCCCAAATGTCCATCATCGGATGAGTGGATACGGAAATTGTGGTATATCTACACAATGGAATACTACTCCGCTATATAAAAGAATGAAATACTGCCATTTGCAATGACATGGATGGACCTAGAGAGATGGATATTAAGTGAAACAAGTCAGGCACAGAAAGAGAAATACTACATGTTCTCACTTATTGGTGGGAGCTAAAAATAAATAAATAAATTCACACACACACACACACACACACAAACCGGGTGGGGGGGAGAGAAGACATAACAACTACAGTTCCTTGAAGTTGATACGACAAGCAAACAGAAAGGACATTGTTGGGTGGGAGGGAGGAGAAGGAGGAGGGAGGGAGGTTTTGGTACTGGGCCACAATAATTTACCACATTGTATATCGACAAAATAAACTTATTTAAAAAAAAAAAATGAATATGCAATACATTCCAAGAAGTTTTTTCTTACATAATGTAGATCTAACCAAGTACCAAAGCAACAATGTAGCACATGTAAAACAACAGTAGTATCTTATGGTTTAAATGTCAAGGTAAGTAGTTCAGCCCACTTATGCTAAAGAGAATTTATCTCTGTCACTCTCTGAAAAAGATAAAATCTCACAATAAAATACAACATGGGACTCAAAAATGTTTGTACACCCAATTTCCACTGTGTTGAGTACACTCCTAAAAATTACTTACAAAGTTTGTACCTTAAAGATGTAACAGATTTAAGCCTCAAGTCTTTAAAGTGTATTAGGAACAGAAAAGAACTATTCTCAATGCAGTAGAGTATGTTAGTACTTTAGGATGCCAACATTCTCCCACAACCTAATCATGTGCTTTCACCAAAGCCATGGTACATATTCAATACTTTTTGTAAAGTACTTTGTGACTTTAAATATGTTTTATGTGCATGTGGCTTGATGACAGAGGTAGTAACGGGTAAAATAATCTAAAGCATAATTGGTCACTGGCAGCAAAAGAACTGCAAAACCTGACTCAATGTTTCCAAAGAAAAAAGACAAGGTTAATCTTTTTTTTTTTTTTTTACTTTTAATATTGAACCTATTAGCCACCACAGCGCTTGGCACATGATAGGTGCTCAGTAAATATTTTTGGAGTGAATGAGCCTTAGCTCCCCTTTCATAATGAAAGCATTCATCATTTGTTATATGAACTGGAGGGGGAAAAAAGAGAAGGTGTTATATAAGATTATGGAAATTTCCTATAATCTTATCAACAAAAATCTGTTACATAATCTTCTTACAGCAATAATATTAAAATTGCATTTTTCTACTTTACATACTTAAAAACATAAACATAAGTCAGTTTTATTTCAGAAATATGACATTTCCTTTATTTAGTCAATAATATTTACTGAACACCAACTATGCCCCAGTGTTCTACGCACTTGAGATATCTCAGTAAACAAAACAGAACAATCTCTGCCTTTGCAGACACTCATTCTCCTAGATATATTTAGAAACTAAGTGATAAGAAAAAAAAAAAAAATGGGAGGAGGGCATTTATAGAACACCTACTGTGTGTTAGGTACAGGTCCACAATCCCATATCCATGTTCCAATATCCATAAAGCTCTGAAAAACGAAAGTTATTCTATAACTAATCTGACTGCAAAAAATCTGTCTTGAATTCTTTTAGAGGCAAAATCTGACCTGCAGAAATGTGAAGCTACTAACTATAGAGTCTTCATTTATCCCATTTAAATTGAAATATTTGTATGTTTTGCTGTAGAAATGTTACGATTTGGTTATGGGCTGCTGCCCCAGATCCTGCTAAGATGTTATATAATGAATAATATATTCTCTTTATTACCTTTCTAAAATATGAAGAATTTTGAATTCCAAAGCATAGTCCCTATATTGTCCCAAAGATTTCACATAGAGAATTATAGAATTTTATTATGCTTATTCATTTACATAAACTACCTCATTACTCCTCATTGGGTAGATATTATTACTACTTAACCAATGAGGAAATCAAAGCTTTGAATGGTTAAGTAAATTTCCTAAAGTCACATAACCAAGTAACAGATGGGAATCAGGGATATTTCTTCAACAAAATTTACCTACCATCTACTTTCTGCTTTGCATGGATTTGAATGCTACAGAGGTGAATAAAACAGTCAAAAAATTCAAAAATCCCTAATCATATTAAATTTACAATTGGGAGAGGGATAAGCAATAAAAAAATATATAAGTAAAATGTAAAGTACATCATATGATGATAAATATTTGGAGAAAAATGAAGTGGTAGAGGGGAATAGAGAATGGAAGGGAAGGCCTGCTATTTTAGAGTAATCAGGAAAGGCCTCACAAGTAATGATTCAAACTTCAGTTGGTCTGCCTTGAAAATCTTGCTGTCTCAGAATGAACGGAGAAGAAAAGGAGCCCCTTCAGATTCCAAAGTGACCATTCTGTCCCTTTTTATCTCCTTCTTATAATCAGTATTTATGCAGACTCTTTCCTAGATATTTGCAAATGATTTTGGCACCCAGATGCTCCTCTGCTTCTCTTCTTGCTCAGCTAGTTTCTATAATTTCTTCAGACCTCTGTTTAGCTGTTCCTTTTCCCTGGAATCCAAATTCATCAAGACTATGTTTGGTGCTCCTGTTATATGTTCCCAAAGCCCTCTGAACTTAGCCTTACCCCAACAATTACCACAATGTATTGCAGTTGCCTGTTTATGTGTCTGACTACTCTTCTAGAATTTAGGCTCTTTGAAGGCAGGGATTATGTCTCAATCACCATATGTGTTGAATGAATGGATGGACAGATGGAGAGACAAACAGATGAACAAATGGATACATGGACAATTGTTTCAATTTGAGGACAGAAATGGTAGGAATTTAAAAAGTCATGTTCAGCTCAAAGGTGCTGAATGCTATAATGAAAATGCAGCTGGCACCAAAAATCAGTTTGGAATAGAGGAGAACCAATTTATAGAAGTGAAGCAGACTGTGAGACAAGGAGTAGAGCTAAGAATATGACAGACACTAACTGAATGCAGAAAACGTAGTAATAAACTAAGCACTGAACAATCCTAAAGCCATTACTATTTGGTTTGAATGCATAAGATGTTTAATTATGTTCCAGATTAACCTTCTAAAATTGTTTTGTTGATATTTCCTGAGTACAAAAGCTGGGCAAAAGAAGTCCAGGAGAGGGTTGTGGGACAGTGCAGGGAAGATGGAGACTAGAATTCACAAGGCTCTAGATATGGGTCATAAAGGTATAAATAGCCACAGTGAGAAAAAAGCCAAGATAGGAAAACTAATTACTTCACTAATTCTTAGCTGTATACAGCTCTACCATATCTTCCCTGCACTGAATTTTTCATGATATATTAGAGGAGAAATTCTTGAGAAGCCAGCAAAGAGGTATAAAGTCATAATCACCAATGGACAGACTGAAGACTATATATTTCAAGTAATGCTCCAAATACACTCATTCACCTAATTTTTTACACCCAAATGAGAAATTACCATTCACATATATACTTTAATTCATACTGTTATCATGCTCCTTTTCACCTGCTATGTGTTAGTTACACTTTTTACAATCTGCTCCTTCCTCAAAGATTCAAATGTTCTTCAGCCTTACCAAAGAAAAGAAAGAAAGAAAGAGAAGAAAAGAAATTCAAAAGGATAACCCATTACCTATCTTGGAAGAAAATATTGTGCGACAAGGCCAAAAAGATCTGTCTGGAGCTCAATAATGGGAAAAGAATGTCTGGCCCAGCTTTTATATCTTCTTTTAAGTGCATGAAAACATAATGGGTGGGACAGAAGGGTCATCTTTCAATTCGCTTTTTTTCATGTGCTATAGCTGATTATTAAAATAGACTCCAAATTTAGTCAGTGTTTAAGTAAATACTAATTTATTACTGAGACAAAGAATTATTTATTTTATAAGTTTAGCAAAATGATTTACTTTCTTTTTATTTAAAGAACTGGAACTTAAATCAAATCTTAAATTCAAATCCCCATAATTAAAATGTCTCAACAGATGTAAAAAGTGTTCCTAGTTGTAAATATAATGATATCCCAGCTAATGATTTCATGTTGATACTATAAATTTTTAAATATAAGATGATCTTTTACTGATTGTATATTAAAAACTTCTACAATTTTTTCTCAATTATTTTTCAATATATTTCAACCTAAAGACAACAAACAGTGCTTAGTTTCACAGAATATTAGTTTACAAAGTTACACACGTTTTCTTTAGTCTTACTCTAAGCTAGCTCTTACTTATGCAATGGATGCAGTATTATTGCATGGCTTCTCCCTATTGAGCCAAATTGTCACTGAGCAATTTGTTTGCATAATCGTGCTAACCAACAAGATAACATGGCTTTCTTCAGAAAAATCCCCTGTGTATAGGTTAAACAAAACACAAAAACAAAGAGCATGTAAGTGTTCTGTTGTATCTGTTCCCTCACTAAAGCAACACTTATACAATGATCAAGCGTTACCTGATTCAGCTAAGCAACTCATAAGGTACTGACTGAAGTATTCTGAATAACTTAGGTATTTAGTCCCAGTCATATTTAGTCCCCAAAAGAAAAAAAAATACATTTATTTAATTAAAAAAGTATAATTACTGACCAGAGAATCACCCTCTAATATGTGTATACTACTAAGCTAATTCTTTTGCCCATTAAGAATTCAGTCTCAATGTGGCTGGGTCCTCATGCTAAGTCAGCAATCTTTCCATTCCCTTTGCTTCTCTTCTCTGCAAATATTCCATATTTTACCACTCTCCTCAAGCTCTGACCTCCTCTTTTTTCCTCCAACTCGCTAAAGACAACCTCATCTCCAGTTTCGTGGAGAAAATAGAAACCAACATGTAGAATGTCCTTTAACCTTTCATGTTTCCAACTGTCTGATTCTGGCCACACACAAAGTGTAACTATACCCATCAGCATTTTTCATTCTTCCCTTCTCATTGACTACTGGGCTTTGGAGAAACACACACACACACACACACACACACACACACACGCACGCACATGCACACGCAAAGAGATATCGCTGCTCTTCCTTCCTTATTTCTACCACACCTTTGGCTACTCCTCTTTTCTTTCAAGGCTAGGGCAGAGGAAATGAAGAAATAAATATTTAAAAAAACCAAAAAAACTCATCAGATTTAGGAGATTCCTATTCTCTGAAACTTTCAACTATAGTTTTTTAGTGAAACTTTCAAATATACAGGTGATTCTAAAAAAAAAAACCTCACATATTATAGAATTAACTTTATTTTGGGTCCTTCACTGAGAATATGTTCTCCCTGCATAAAGTAATCCCTACAAGAAAATACAATTTGTTTTAGGATGTGGTTTCCAGGACCGTGTTTCACCACACTGCTTAAAGCTTTTTCTGAAATTAATTTTTCTGAAAGCTTTAAGCAAGTCTCTCAGTTATTTACTTATCTCACTTATTCAACCACCTCTGATGCAGTACTACAATTATAAAAGTGGTTAGCAGCATTATTTATATTCTAATAGTACTTCACTACCATTCATGCTGATCAAATACCCTTTATCATGGCTTTACCATGATTAGGGAATCTCTTTTTCTTTTTGTGATCATACTCAGATAAAATATTACAATCAAGTTTTCACATTTAAATATATAGAGAAAAAAAGCAAAATATAAATATATTGATATTTGTTTTAAAAATTAAAATATAATAACAAATCACTTTCCTTAATAAATAAAACCTGTGTCTCAAAATATATTTCAAGTTATGGTAACTAAAAAAAGTGAGAATGGAGGAAAAAAGGGTGGAAAAAGAAAAAATATTAGATTAAAAGAGAAACAGACAAGAAAGGGCAAAATAGAGACAGACTTAATCTAACTAGTTTTAACTATTCCTCACTTGAGTTAGTTCACTATACTATAATTCACTCTCCATGAGAATTATCTGTTTAATCAGTGCTCAGAGTTCTTCATCCTTAAACTTCACTTTCCCTAGGAGAGCAACATCAATACAACATCAATACAGCTTCCTTAAGCTACAGCAGGAAACAAAAGTCTCCTCTAGTATTTCATACCCAGAATTTAGTTTTATTTCCAGAAAACTTTTTCTTATTTATAAAATTAGTAAAACCAGATCCTGAAAACCGAGTTCATAATTTTTCAACTCTACCTAATTCTTCTGTTTTCAGTAGAAGTGTATCATGAGGTAAAACTAAAACACAGAAACGGAATAATCAGAGTAAGAAAAATATTAAAAGGAAATGACACTATGGTGTCTGCATATATGTAAATACAGCCTTCTAAAAATAATATAAATTTTAAAAAAATTATCCTTTATTACTACAGTAGGGAATTGAAAATGCTACTGCTGTCACACTCAATTTTCCTCTCATATGAAATTCTTCCACCACATCTACATGTAAGACAAAACAATTCTTCACCCTCTTTCAATATTGCTATCTAAATAATGTATTGTGTCAAAAAACTGAAATAATTTTTCATTAAAAAAATTCTTTGTAAGAAGCTTTGTGACAAAGTTACTTTAAAAGACAGAACGTCCCATGAAGTTGGTATTTTACAGACTGATTTTATAAAAAATATGAAGCAATAGACCCAAAGTTCAATTCCTTCATATCTGTTCTTCTATTAAATTATATTTCAAACATTTTTTAGGTGTTGTAACATCAAAAAATTGCATTAATATCAATTATAACTGAGATATAAATCATATTTATTCCTACCTGAGAACTCCATCTACTTGGTCTTTGGTATAGCCTTTTCCACTTTCACCACTACCAGATGTGCTGTCCTTTGTGCAATTAGGCTTGCTTTGATCACCACTACCTGATGGTTTTCGGCAACGAGGGCCATTTCCAGCCGTGCTTCCATTTTTCATAATTATTTCCAATAGTGCTGTAGGAAGATAAAGTATACTGTGCCTGTTTACATCAAGGTACATACACAAGACCTTCAGAAGAATGTTATAAAGCAGACAAATCACAATCTGTTCTCCAAAAACGTTCACCATAGGGTCTATAGCCAGCACTCCCTATATACTTAACTAAAATACTAATCACCATTTAGGAGGATGTTAAACTCAAAGCTAATAAAATTAAAAATTGCTATCATTCAATTTTGACATATTTTATTTGTCATATCATAGTGAAACTGCAGAATATCAACAACAACAAAAAGTGATAGCCTTTAAAGTAGCCAATGAGGTCATCCACAAAGAAACAGAAATTAGAGTTTCTGTTTATTTCTCACAATGGCAGCCAAAAGATATTAGAATATTATCCACAAAATGCTCAGGAAAAAAACTGTCAATGTAAGTTCTGCACACTAATATTCCAGAAAGTGTACAACATAAAAACATTTCAAACATAAAAACTGAGAAAATTTACCATTAAAAGACTTTCGGTAGAGGATACTGTAATATATGTATTTTAGAAGAAAAATGTTTTCAGATAGGCTGAGATGCAAAAAGGAATAGTGAGCAAATATTCTGGTATATGTGTGAGTAAATATAAACACTGAGTGTGAACAACAACAGTAGTTATGTCTAGGATTTGCTGTAAAATAATCTGGAGAGAAGAGACATAAAAGTTGGGTTAGAGAGAATGTATGAAATAAGGTTAGCCATATATATTCATAACGGCTAAACACAGGTGGGTAATAGAATTGATTATACAATTTTCTTTTCTTTTATGTATGCTTGAAACTTACCATAATAATTTTTTCCTGAGTTTTAAGTTTTAACAAAATTAGAAGGAAAAAAACAGAGAAATCGACCATCTTGGTAGAAACTCTTAACATATTTCAATCAACAACTGACATAAAGTAGATTTAAAAAAAATTATTAAAGGGCCGACCCCTTGGCTCACTTGGGAGAGTGTGGCGCTGGGAGCACAGAGGCACTCCCGCCGCGGGTTTGGATCCTATATAGGGATGGCCGGTGCACTCACTGGCTGAGCGTGGTGCGGGCAACACCTAGCCAAGGGTTGCAATCCCCTTACCGGTCACAAAAAAACAAAACAAAACAAAAAACACAAAACATTCTTATATATAACAACAAAAGCATAAGTGACAAAGAAAAAATAAAGTGGACTTAAAATTAAAAACTTGTACATCAAAGGCTATCAATCAAGAGTGAAAAAGACAACCCACAAAATGGTAGAAAATATTTACAAATCACATATCTGATAAAAGAAATGTATCCAGATATATAAAGAATTCTTACAATGCAATAATAAAAAGACCAAAAACCCAATTTAAAAAAAATGGGCAAAGTAACTGAATAGATATTTCTCCAAAACAGAAACACAAATGGCCAATAAGCACATAATAAAGTTGCTCAACATTATTAGCCATTAGGGAAGTAAGAATCAAAACTACAAGATACCACTTCACACCCACTAGGATGGCTATAATCAAAAAGACAGACAATAGCAAGTATAGGCAAGGATGTGAAGAAATTGGAACTCTAATACACTTCTGCTGGGAATGTAAAATGGTGCAGATGCTTAGAAAAATCACCTGGTAGTTTTTTAAAATTAAACATATAGTTACCTTTTGACTCAACAATCCCATTCCTAGGTATATATACACAAGAGAAATGAAAACACATATCTACATGAAAACTGATTCACAAATGTTCATAGCAACATTATTTATATTGCCAAAAAAGTGGAAACGAACAAGTGTACATCAACCGATGAATGATAAATAAAATGTGATATATCCAGACAATGGGATATTATTTGAAAATAAAAAGAAATGAAGTACTGATGATATACGCTAAACATGGATAAACCTTGAAAACACTATGATTTGCAAAAGAAGCCAGTCATAAATGACTACATACTGTATGATTCCATTTATATGAAATGTACAGAATAGGCCAATTTACAGAGACAGAAAGTAGATCAGTCATTGCCAAGGAGGGGGAGGGGAATGAAATTAGGGAGAAAAGAGGAGTGACTGCTAATGCGTATGGGGTTTCCATTTGAGGTGAGGAAATGTTCTAAAATTGATTGTTGTAATGGCTGCACAACTCTGTGAATATACTAAAAAACCCACTGAATGGTTAAATGAGTGAATTGTATGGTATGGGAATTATATCTCAATAAAGCTATTACATATATATTTTAAAAATCCCAACAGTGCTGTAGGCAAATTTGCAAACATATAGATATTTAGTATTTATGTCTTATTTATACAGGTTTTCTTTCCACCATACTTTTCCCTGTCTAATGCATTTCAAAGGTCATGAAAGACATAAGACATTTAGTTTATACAACAATCTAGTCATAGATGGTACTCAATTAGATAGCAATCTATTAGCTATAAACAATAGAAATATATATTATACAGTCAATATTTAACTGTAGTTTAGTCTGTATTTAATGCAATCACAATGGAAACCAGCATGGTCTAGGAGGTAGTGGTTCACAACATTTAAACATGAAAAATTTTGTGATAATTCTGGGAAGAAGGCTGTAACAGCAGCTTAAAATTAAGTCTCTCCAAATTCCCTCATAAAATTAGACAGAGCAATTAAATAGCAAAATCAAAACTTCAGCACAACATCCCAAAATATAAGAAGGTGGAAATAAACCACCAACAGCTACAAGATCTGCATGAGTATTAGCATCTACTGGGAAGTAGCAGAGGGTAGTAATAGGGCATTTGCTAGCCCACAGAAGACAAGAATCCCCAAATAACCAATAGGGACTCTATACAGCATGGCAGGCAAAACTGAGAAAAGTGTCTAAAAAGGAACGGGTTTTGTCCACCACAATATTGCATGGGTGCAAGGGTCCAGAATAAAGCCTTAAGGACATAGAACACTCTAGTTGCTACAAATTCTCACAACTAATAAATTACAGCTCTCTTCCAGAACAAAGCCATACCAAGGAAACACTGCAGAGGACAAGACCCAAAATGAAGAGGACAGCAATAACAGAAAGAAAAGGAAAAAAAAAAGAAAAAAAATAAGAGAAACTCCAGATAAAACATGGTAAAGGAGAAAGGAGTGAGAATATCTCATAAAGCAAGGTAACGTATTTTTAAACATTACACAAAAACAGGAGAAGGATCTCTGTATATTTAGAAAGGAAAGACTAACTAAACTAACATCATATAAAAATGAGTAAAAAAAAATGACAATTTAAATCTGATACAAAGTTATTATAAGAAAAAAGAATAAATATAAAATAAATCTCTGAAAACAATGAATGCATTCTACAAAGAATCACCTACAAAACAGATGAACACTATAACCTACTATTTCAAAACAAGCTGAAAAGACTTTTAAAAATAATACATGATATGAAAGAACAACATAAATCAGAATTACAACACCACAAGAAATTATCTATCCAGAATTTAGGCGATAAAACTCAGGAAAGAATAAGCAATGTAAGAAAAAATCAATTCAAAAAAGAAGACTACACTAGAAGAAACAAAGAGTTATAAACATAACAGATAATGCCTTAAGAGAAAGAAAACTTAAAAAGGAGGACAATTTTAAAAATTAAAAAAACCAAAAAGACAAAAGAAACCTGACAGAAAATAGAAATATTGAATATGGTTAAAGATCAAAAATATGTACAACAGGAGTCCTGCAGAAGAAAAAACAAGGAACTAGAACTAATATAACAGTAATTGGAGAAAATTTTTCTAATATAAAAACAAAAGTATCTGAAGGTTTATAATGAAAAGGCAAATCACATACTTAAGAATACTGACCAAGAATAACCACAAGCAAGACATATCCTAGAAAATTAACTGGGTATCCAGGCAAAAAGATCAAATTACTTATAATGGAAAAAATTTAGATTGTCATCAGACTTTGCTCATCAGCAGTACTTCCACAAAAGAATGGAGTAACATATTTAGATACCCAAGGAAAGAAAACATGAGCCAAGGACTTTGTACCTATCAAACTACCTCTAAGCGGGAAGGCACAGATGAGCTATTTTCAGCATTCTAGAATTTAGGAAGCAAAGTTCCCACTACCCCTTCCTGGGAATCTACTAGAAAACAAGCTTCAAAAATCCAAAATAATTACATATATAGTAACATAAGGACTGGTAGCAAGCATTAAATGTATAGTTATTTACAGAACTAAGACTAAATGATGGTTAAGAAAGAGAGCATATAGGATGCAGTGGTGGTAGGTTCTGACACTGTAGATATGGTTCAAATATTTTTAAACTGGTGGGCTTCCTCTGTCCTTCCCTTTAACAGAAAATAAAATAAAATTATTGGATTTATTCCCTTCCCTCCCCTTTGTTTTGGCAGCTGGGGCTGGCAGGACCAATAAAGCCTGGACCAAGGAGACATACTGGGACCAAGGAGGCAGTCATAGCCAAAACCATCGCTGAGCTTGACAGGGCCCGCACCAAAGGGGTCAAATAAGCAACATATTACATACAAGGGAAAATGAACACATAAGTAGGAGCCACGTTTCTCACTGTCAGAAAATAGAATGATAAATATGGAAATGGAGAAGTCTAGAATGAACCCTGTGATACTGGACTAAAAATGGAGATGCGTGAATATATATGTGTGTGTGTGTCTCTCTCACAGATATCAAAATTAATACAGATCAAATTACTATGATATATGTATGCCCACATACAAATATATATAACACGCATATACATACATGCATTCATTCATACATATATTTCCTAGCTCTATCCAGTGAGAGGACTAGAAGCAATGACACCTCTGTAGCAATGAGTAGCTAATGTTTATATCTAGTTTCTAAATTTTCCTCATTGTCTACTAAAAGAAATCAGGGCTTCCTGGAGAAACAGCTGATTCCCAGGACAGAAAAAGTAAAATGTAAGCCTAAAAGAATTTTTGTGCCAGAAAGTAAGGAAATTCAAAGCATGATGAGGACA